TTTGATACAAATATCACACATGCAGTGTTACTTTAATATGTCCAATCATTATTTGACATAACTACTCACACTAACAAGTTGAAATCAATACTGCAATTGCTCCACCAATGAGTTTGGCCTTCCTATGGAAGATAGGAAATGTATGCCTAATAATTGTGTCACATGACGTACCATATCCATTCATAGGCGCTAACAAAATAGAGCAATGTGATTGTATTGCCTTTCACTGCTGTGCAAGGATTGTACCATACCTCGCAACTCATTTAGTTTACAACTGACATCTGCCCACACAAGCATGTGCAATAACATGTACACGCACGCACGCACGCACGCACGCACGCACGCACGCACGCACGCACGCACGCACGCCCTTTATGAAAAAAACAAGAAAGACGACAAGTATGAGAAAGCACAATTTATTCACTTTTGGAATATGTATTTGCACAGAAGTGAACTTTTTCACTTAAATACACAAAATCTTTTTTTTTTTTTACAGAGAGTTTCTTTCTCCCTCCCTCAAAAAGTTCATCTAGGTGCTATAAATACCAAGGATTGAAAGTTACTCTATTTAGCAATTCCATTTTTTTACACATATTTACATTTTTCACATACACCTATACAAAGAATGGAGGTAACTTTAAAAAGTAAATATTTTTTGTTTGTTTGTCTTTTGTACAACTGCATATACAGAAACTATATTTGCTACTTTCAGCCTCATATTGTCCAATTAAGAGTTCTACTAACGAGTCTCACTGCTGTTCTACCAGGGATTCACACACACAGGTAGGAAGGATCTAGTTTGAACTGCTTTCAACACATGTACAAGAAAATGTAGAAATTGATTAGTATGCAAAAGTGCTAATTATAATTAGGCAGATTATTTTTTTTTAGAAAACATTCCGTGTTGGACTAACCCAATTTTTTGTTGCTAACTCGGTACTACAAAATCAAGTGTCAAGTCAATCATCTTATATGCAAATGAGTTTTAATAATTAGTATTACTACGCAGACTTTCCAAATAATGACACTGTACAAGCCTACATTTGCCAATATGTAAATGAGCTACTTAGTATGCGTAATTTCTAATCAGTAGTTGCAGCACGCATAGACCACTTACGAGTAAACAACTAGTACAACACGCAATTATTTTGAAACCCTGCAATTTCATATCGCACACAGATCAGTGGTCGTTGCCATGGGTCCCATGCGACACATACTATGCATGTTCACAACCTTTCTAAGTTTCCAGATTGATGTAAATAATGTTCTTCATCAGAAATCATCTATCCTACTCTCAGCTCAAAAACTAAATTCTTTCGAAATAAAGATTTTTTTTTAAATTTCTTTAACATAAACTGTTTGTGCGTAAAAATTAACTTGATATAATCTATGAATAACAAATAAAATCATACACAGTGCAACTGATCCATATGGATTTTATCCAATTTAGCAATTTTCTTTCTGACAAAATACATGTATGTAAATTACTGAAATAGTCACTTATCATTGAAAGCACATACTGCTGTAATATTTACTAAGTTGTTTTGATTCCCTTTAGATTAAATGTAAAGAACAGAAGAAAGCACTTGGGCAAATGTTACATTGGTTGGTCATAGTGTAGTGTAAAAAAAAATAACGCAATTCGATTATTTTATATTTCTATATCAGTGGTTCATAACTTAATCACCACTTCTTTTGAAACAGTTTTTGCACATTTGAAGCCAAGTCCAATGAAAAAAACATAATTCCCACAAACATTCATGTACAGAATTAGGGGTTGATCATTACAAACTAAGGGGAAGGTCTACTGTGTTTGTCTTTACTTATTTTTGAGCTGCAGTAGAATTGTTTTCCAGATTTTTTATATATAAACATTTAATTTTCATGTAGATCTCCATGTATAATTGTCCCCTCTGTCCGTACCCCCCACCCCCAAATCAATAAAATGTGCTTTTATCAATACAAATAAACAATTAGTTTCAAATCACCGGGAACTGAACATCGGCCGATCACAGCACAAATTTTTTGGCCTCAATTTATAGATTGAAACATACATTTTACCCATACATGTTATATACCATAATAATGATCTTGTTTCAAACTTTGGAAATATGGCAATTTTTTTAAATTGTGCAAATACCAAGTCACGTGATCATAAGAATACGCGAAAATGGAGTTGGTTTCTCCATACTGAGTTTAGAACGGGCGTCGGTCCCGACGTCCGGCATTCATCACAATCAGCCGAGACAAAACATTGACCATAATTCATGGGGATCATGTTCCGTAATTTGTGGGCTGAAAACCCAAATAATTAAACAAGTATTATATATATTTCATTTTACATCGCGAAACTACAACAGAGCTTGGTTGTTCGCGGTGAAACAGTCGCCTTGAAGTCGATACAACTTCAACTCGCCATTTATTACCTTGAAATAAAAAAAAATAAAAATTCCAAGAGCATCGGGGAATATATTAATAACCATTTTTAGCAATCGCTAGATTTATTTCATCTGAATACATGGAATGCATGAGATTTTCAACATTTATTGGCAACTTCCGCTCTGAAAATGGTTGAAAATGTGGGTGTGGTTCTCTCACGAAATCCTGTTGATAATACGGACAAATATGGTTCTGTGACCCAGGTCATGCTTCGATCAGGTGACTTTCAGCAAATCAATGATGTTGTAACAAAGCATATTTGACGTTAATTGAAGGGTCGTCGTACCGTCCAATCTCCTGCTTCGATTCACATATTTTTTTTTTGTTCTGTGACAGGCTTCAAAATTATTTTCACTGAAAAACATTGGTATATTTTGACTAACGGAGGGTATTTGACCTCAGTTCAGAAAGAAGAAAATCTAAGCTGAGTCCACGGCGAATCAGTTTTCTTTGTTAGTTGTGAAATAAGGTAACCTTGAGTAGGGTCGACGATTTTCAGCCCTGAAGGACTTCCGCGTGAATCCTGACTTTCGAATTGTTCATCGTCTGGCCACCAAATATTTATGGCTATAACTAAATTTGACATGTTTTTTTTTTCTGAATTATTCATTTATGTCAAGCTCTGTTCTATTTTTTCAGAGCATGTGGCCGTTTTAGTCAAAATATTTTTTTGTGGGAACACTTTTACGGTACGTATAGATCGAGCTCATCCACTGATCGTGACTTAATTTTGAAAATTGAATGTCAAATTATACCAGACCGACCGCCTGTGGACCGATGTGGTTTTGGTATCGTTATTTTTGGGATTAATCATTAACATTTTCCTCGTTTCTCTGCTCTGTCGAAAGAAGTTACCTATGCCCTTTTCACGTAACTGTCTCATTAAAATAAAATATTACATTTAGAACAAGCACCCAAAACACGTAACAAGAGGTCCCAGTTAAGTTGCTTTGACGATTGGTTGTCATGCAACTATTAGATTTGAAAAACCACCATTTCAACTACTCATGTGTGATCAGTGTTTTGGCGAGCAGTCAATGTTTTCAATGAGCGAGCGAGCGAAAAAAGAGCGATTAAAATGCTGTCGGTTTCCGGTCGAACAAGACCGCGCGGTCGGAAGTCAAGCAATAAGCTGTGAGTGTAAAAGTGGAAGGCTGGGCGAAATGAGTACCGTAATTACGTAAACTTTGTAGTATTGATATGCAAATCAGATCTTTCATCAAGTGTCAATTAGGATTACTTTCATGTGAGTGTTGTGCTTGTGTTTAAAAACAATCACACATGGCAATGTTTTGAAATAGAAAAAACGTCGAAATCAGCGTTATAAAATGGAGTTTTTGTTTAGAATAAAAGCACAGTCATAGATACTGTCCATAACCATCAATAATTTAAAATTAAAAAAAATATTGAAAAAAAAAACACACTAAACGTATGCTAACCCCTTAACAGGTTTGTTTTGTTAAAATTTGAGTCAATAAATAACAAATTGTCTGTGATCTGCAGGTTTAGTGAACAATTCTAGATGGAGCATCACTTATACACAAAATACGATACGATTTTTTTTCAATAATAAATGGGAAGGTTGGCCAAGACCGTCTGAATAGAGTTCTCCCTACTGAAATGAGTTTATTTATTTTACTCATTTTCGAACTTAGTGACAAAAAGAAAAGATACTGTCCAGAAGTATCCTTCATTCGGATTTTTTAAATTCACATGGATCGTATAGATTTTTCGACAAAAAGTTAAAGAGTTTCATTGCATATAACCGTGATTAGGATAGAAGCTAAACAAACGAGTATCAAAATAAGTAGTTGTGCTTGCTTCAATCTGCAACTTTACACCTACTAATCAAACTACGCTGGGTTATACTACACTGAGTATATTGGTGAAGAGGGGGGGGGGGCAATCTGAGGTATGCTAGAGTCAATTGTTTACAGCGATCGTTTTAAGCGAGTCTGTTACAGATACAGCTTTTACAGTAGACGTGTGTTTGATTGAAGCCTGACTGACTGGTTGTTGAATCATATTGTTACTCACTGATTGGCTCGTTGTTTGCGGTGTAAACCTAGTATTTCCTGAAGGTTGAGTCAGCATGGAATGGGTTACCATCGGCTGACTGTAAATCGGCTGCACGGCCGATTTCCCCGCAACAGATGTGCTCGAGATGATCGGCAAAATTGCTTGGTGTGTGATCAATGGAGTTTGAGAAAACGTAGCTGTGTTATTCACTACAGAGGGATTGACAGAAAGCGGATTGAATGCAATCGGCGATTGTCCAAGCATCGGTCTTCCTGATAACAGTTGATGGAATGTGCGTGTCGATGTAATTAGAGACTGAGACATAATCTGGGATACTAAAGGCTGGGTTGCTGCTAGCGTAACAACGGGTTTGACTTGGATAGAAACTGGTTGACTCGAAGGTGCAGTAACATGCGGTGATGGCGACTTTGGTATACGTACATTAGTATACGGTAGATGTTGCATTTTAAAAGAAGATGGATAAGATGATGGTTTGACATGTGTAACAGCTGGTGACGGTGGTTTTGGATGAGGAGTCAGTTTTGGGGGAATAGGAACAAACACAGACCGCGGCAATGCGGACTGGGTTGTGGCAACTGTAGTTGGTTTATCAGTATAACCATTCGTAATCGTTCGAGTAATGCCGATGTTTGGACTTTTTGACATTGCTGTATAAGGTAAATTGAAATTATTCCGGCTTCTTGGTGGAGACCAACTTTGAGCTTCATCTTCGCCTTCTGTGTGTAGAAAAATAAAAATTTATTTAGGATTCAACATTGACAAAAATATTCAATTCTGATTTACATCATTGTAAATCTAAAATTATTATGCCTGTATTACATCATGCAGGTGGAAATATTGAACAAGAACAAGTCATTGTCAATGACACAGTCCCTGTCCAAAATTTTGTGATCTGACATATCAATTTGATGCTGATGAAGTCATTGAGATTAGATTGAAACCATTAATAGGAGATAGATTTGTAAAAAATTATGATTGAATCAAATTACAAAAATAATGTTGATGTATCTATTGATATACTTTCTTTGTACAAAATTTAAAGAGAAATGTTCATTGCATTCAAGAGAAAGTAGCATGGGTACCATGAAAAACAAAATTGCCCCCAGTGCACCTATAACCCAATATGTATGATCACCATACCAACTTTGATCCAAATTGGCCTAGTCATCTGAGAAACAGCTCCGGACAATTTAGCACTTTTACATGAAATTTGGGTGTCAGTCAGCCATATTGAATCGACTCACAAAAATAACGATAGTGTAGTTTGTATCTTTTGGTATACTATCTTTGTACAAAATTTAAACAGAAACGTTCATTGCAAAGTTTGAATGAAATCCGTCAAGGGGTGTCCAAGATATAGCTCCGGACGTACGTATGAATGGATTGATGGATGGATGGATGGACGGACGGACGGACGGAACAACCCAAATTAATAGTCCCCGTTTTTGGACTTCGTCCGAATGGGGACTAAAAAATCTTAAATCAAAGAAAGCTTTAAAAAAAAACCATGTGCTGAGAATATTTAAGACATTAAAAATTAATTAGCCTTTCAAACAAGAAGCTCTATTCGAGATGTACAAAATGTGATCCACATTATTGAAGTTTATAATACTTACAGAAAATACATTTGATTTTACATCTGTGATTTTCAGTCCAATTTATTCCAGCGCACCTCTACCAAAAAGTTCAATTTAAAACTGATTTTTTTGAGATACCAGAAATTGGCTTTTCATTAATAAACTAATCACGTCTGTGGATTACCCCCAAAGCATCAATGAACCAAATTTCAATAAAATGTGATGATTATGCACATTATGCAAATTCAGTATGTTTGAATTTCAATCCCAAACTAATTAAATCTGTGTATTGTTCCAGGACACATATGTACTAAGTTTCATTATATTGTGATGGGTAATTTTTTTTTTAAATTGATGGAGAGCAGAAAAATAAATTATTATGAAAATTAGGTAATTATTGTGGATGTATATAAACCAAAACTAATTAGTTGCATTGTCTTAGTGTATTTAGTGTAGATTCATTGAAACATAATGATTAGAGGAAGAGCAAACTCTAATCAAACCCAAACCCTAATCAAATCTGTGCATTAGCCCAGTGCATCTGTGCATTAAGTTTCATCAAAAACCAATATGGTTCTTGAGATATCAGTGGAATAGACGGACACACACTAACTACAAAGACTCCCATTGTGTGCTTCACACACTGAAACAAGGTAAGCAAATGTGTGATATGCAAAGTGGTATGCAAATGTTGATATGCAAATATGTGATATGCAAATATTGCGATATGCAAAGTGTTATGCAAATATTGTGATATGCAAATATGTGATATGCAAATATGTGATATGCAAATGTGTGATATGCAAAGTGGTATAACATGTGTGATATGCAAATGTTGTGGTACGCAAATGTGGTATGCAAAGTGTATGCAAATGAGTGATATGCAAATATTGTGATAGAAAGTGGTAAGCAAATGTTATGGTATGCAAAGTGGTATGCAAATGTTTAATATGCAAAATGGTAAGCAAATGTGTGATATTCAAAATGGTATGCAAATATTGTGATATATAAATTGATATGCAAATGTGTGATTATGCACATGTTGTGGTGTCCAAAGTAGCATGCAAATCTGTGATGTGTGAATGTTGTGGTATGCAAAGTGGTATGCAAATGTTTAATATGCAAATGTTTAATATGCAAAATGGTAAGCAAATGTGTGATATGCAAAATGGTATGCAAATATTGTGATATATAAATTGATATGCAAATGTGTGATTATGCACATGTTGTGGTGTCCAAAGTAGTATGCAAATCTGTGATGTGTGAATGTTGTGGTATGCAAAGTGGTATGCAAATGTTTAATATGCAAATGTTTAATATGCAAAATGGTAAGCAAATGTTTAATATGCAAAATGGTAAGCAAATGTGTGATATGCAAAATGGTATGCAAATATTGTGATATATAAATTGATATGCAAATGTATGATTATGCACATGTTGTAGTGTCTAAATCTGCAAGTATGCAAATCTGTGATATGAAAAATGGTACGCAAATATGTCACATGCAAATAAATATTGTGATAAGCAAAATGATAATGCCTGGTTTACTTTTTTGAAGATTTCCTTACCAGTTTTACATGAAAACCAGGGCTTTAGAGAGGTTTTATAGAAAAAATGAAATTTTCCAGAATCGTACTCGGACCCAACAGTATGTATATAGCCATTCATGACTGTCTTATTGTTTGAACAATAGGAGCTGATATGAGCTGAGTATGTCTGTGTATCGTTTGGGCCCTCAAATACAAGATTACAAAATTATCATTATATTATATTGGGGTTCTTTTTCACATGAACATTCATTTGCCTTACCTGTACTTTGAAAACATTATCAACCAAAATGAATTTATCCAGTACGTATTCTCACCTGATGCTGTTGACGTTGATGCCTGGTCGTCATCATATTCTGACGCTAATCCCATTTTCCACGATGTAGCTGTCATATACTCGTGTCCTAATGGAGTAGACATGTTTGAATTTTCCCCTTTGAGTCGACTGAGTTTTTGCTGAAGTGCAACTTTTTGCCGTGCAAGATAATCCATGTTGTGTTCGTATTCTCTTTCTTTTTTCTTTAGAATCTGAATAAATGCCAGAACGACGACAATTATTTTCAGAGATTTCGGAATTATTATGAAAAAAACAAAAACAAAAAACATTCATTTCAAAAATAAATGAACAGTTTTAATTTCACAAAAACCAAATTTGGAGCCTGCTGGAAACTGGGACTCCCATGAAATTTTATTCTCGAAAACATTTACATGAAAAGTTAAAAATTTTTAATTTAATTGAGAACAAATATACACCAATTTTTAAATTATCAACTACGTAAAGATTTAATTCATTCCACATGACCAGAATATTCCTCAAAAATAATAAAACAAGCAGCCTATCGGCTGAGATAGCTCCGCTGTTAGCAATGCACATTTCAATTAAAGAACTGAAGACATCATTAGAAAATGAACAATATGAATAGTATCAAAGCAATCGGACTTGCGGTTTTTAACAAG